TTTAAAAAAAAATCCAGACGACATGCATTCAACGGATGTCAGATTTCATTGAAAAATACATCCCTACCCCCTTACCAAAACGTAACTAAAAAACGGATGCAATAATACAGACATAATGAACACCCAGACACCCCTTGTCCAGTTGAAGTGGATTTATCTGTAACCTTGGAAACGTGAATTATGATTTAGCTGTGTCTTTAAAACCCAGTAATTTTAAAAGTTACTCCAAAATTCGCTTGAGGATGAAATGGAACTAATGTCTTTAATTTAATTACAAAATTAAATTCGTAGCTTTTAGCTTCCATTGTTGAAACAGGGTTAGAACTGTGTGAAAAACCCATAAAATCATATTTTAAATTAATCAATATATATATATATATATATATATATATATATATATATATATATATATATATCCACTACTCCACCTGCCTTCTAAGTATTTTTATATATATATATATATATATATATATATACTTGGAAGGCGCGGTGAAGTAGTGGATAGGGGTTCTGATTGAGGAATTGGAGAGCCAACATCGAATTCCAGTCGAATCCAGTACGTTCACTTATACTTGGGAAAGGTATTAATCAGAGGATTAATACCTCCCTCCAGCTATAGGTAAATAGCAGGACAGACTGGGTTCTATAGCCTTATACTAGAAGAAGGACAACTCTGAATTCAAAACTTGCGGAGGGTCGTTTAGGGACCCTGTGGTACGTAGTGCACCATGTCTCTGTATTTGTCCTTTCAAAAAGTGTGTTTGGTTCAGCACAAAGCCTTCACTATTATAATCAAATCATATGTGCTGGTGTCTGACTGCTGGTTCCTAGGAACTGAGTTGCTTGACCCTCATACGTCGAATACGACATTAGAGTCTACCATATCAAATACAATTTCTTTTGTTATTTTACTTTGACATGTTTCACCGATTAGCCAACATCATTAGAAAAAATAATTTTATGTCACAAGAACAAAATTTATATCAGCGACACGAACCATGATTTACGTGAAGCGGCTGGACGCCGCCGGAGTCTTACACTATATCGTCATTGTTTTAAAAAATAATGGTAACAAAAAAGAACACTTATATTCAGACAGCAGAGTCCTATATATATATATATATATATATATATATATATATATATATATATATATATATGTGTGTGTGTGTGTGTGTGTGTGTGTGTGATTCCGCAAAAATGAATACTCACTTCAGGAATGGAAAATATTGTATTGATATTGTAATACTAAATTTATTCAGACATCACAAGATTAATACAAGTTACCTTTGGTTTCTACAATCACAGGAGATTGTCAAAATGGTGACAACTAGCTTCTAGACATTTATTAGTACGGCGAACAACTGCTCAGCCAACGTTGGCCATAGTGTCTCCTGTACACGCATTTTTAATTTCTTGTTTTCTAAGTCGGTTTTCTGCGATACACAGTATCATATAAATAAAAGTCTGTGGGGGTAAAATTAGGAGAACGTGAGGGGAACTCGACTGCACCTCTTCGTCCTAGCTAGTGCCCTTGCAAATTCTCATTCAGATAAGCTCGGATGTCTTGCTGGTAGTGTGGCGGTGTGCCATCTTGTTGAATGAAAAATTCATCATTTCCATAAAGTTCATGTATGGCAGTGTTATCGCAATTTGATAAAACTACGAAAGACAACTCTTTCCTGAAGTGTGTATACATTTTTTTTTTTATGAATCTGAACTTTTTATGAATTATAAATGAGAATTAAGAATAAGTCAAAAATAATTTTCACGGTCTGTATTTCATTCACTGTCATTATAATAATTTGTCTATATTTTCTCTTCTCTTCACGATGTCTTATCTTATTTTTATACACATGTATTCATGTTTAAATAAAAATGAAAAAAATGACAATAAATTTGAAAGTAAAACAATTTCAAACCTATGATTTTACCGCGAATGAAAAAATACTTGCAATACAGAAATAAAAGAAAAAAAATTGAATAAAAAAAATTAAAGTTTAGCCCGAAGCTAAGTGAATAAAGTTGAGGATCAAACTTACGACTTATCAGAAATATCAGTGAACTATACAATCTCAGTAACCATTACACCTCGGCCAGGTGTCGGGGACCTAATCGATTAAGATACGGGAATAAAAAGGTTTTATTTTCGCTGAAACTATTAGTGATAACTCAATATGAGTTTGTCTGTAACGTAACTTACCTCCATTCGAATCTTTCACTCCGTTTAAAAATAAGAAGTGTCCTTTTTGTTATTCAATTTCAATGGTATGCTGAAACTAATAATAGGAAGCTTGTGAAATTATGTCTGCATGTCTTCGTTTATTTATTTTAAAGTGAGTGTTTTTATATTGGGAATATGCAAACACGTCATTGGCCACTCGGAGATTTAGATCTTTTGGCTGTAGCTTCAGGCAACTTACAAGTAATCGTAACTTCGTGTGACACAAATAACTATCGATTCTTGTCTCTTACTGTTTCTCCTTGTCGTGCACCGTGTGTGTACGCCATGAATTCTCCAATGATAATAATTACAATTATAAATAATTTTTGGTATGCAGCTTAATTTCATTTTGTCTAGATGCACACAGCATGGAAAGAACACTGACCATGATCATTACAACAATAGCTTATTAAATTATTACAAATTCTTTGCCTCAACGATGTGGCAATAGTGATTAAAACATTTAATTCGCGAGTTCCATTTAATTATTAGAGAATAACATTAGATGTTCTTCTTGTGTCGTGTCCCTTAAGGACGTTGACGATCATGGCTCTCCCCAATTTACTGTCCTCTGTGGCTCTTAATAATTTTTTTTTGTTATCTCTCCTAAACCTTATTCCGCCATCCATTTACTCAAGCTTGCTGTCCCTCTTACCTTCAATTTGTCCAGTGGGTATCAAAATTCCCAAGCCATCTTTCCGCATTAATGTGCCCTAGATATTTCAACAGTCTCTTCTTGATGTAAAAAGTATATTTAATACATATAATGGTATATGTTATAAAATGGTAAACCGAAAAATTGTGTATATATATATATATATATATATATATATATATATATATATATATATATATATATATATTTGTATGCATATAAATATAAAGGTGGACACTGAGGTCAACACCCAGCGGTGACAGTCCTTTTCATGCTTAAACGTAATCTTCTGAAGATGACGTTTTTTTATTGTCCTCTTTTCTTAATAATAATGAATTTTCTCAGCTTCTTTTCCTCTCGATCATCTCCTTACATCTTAGCGGCTTTATCGCCTTGCTTTGGAAAGAAGTTAAACGGTTATCATTCCTCACGTTTCCGAGCTTAATCGAAGACAAAAATAAATAATTATATTTTAGTCAATGTGGAAAAATGTATAATCTTTTTGTCTTCGATTGAGCGCCCAAGACTGTCGAAGAGGTGAAGTCGCGTTCTCCTCACGTTCACGTTATCTTCTTTTTTTGCTGTTGATTTGTTTTCTTTGTATCATTTTTCGATTAACCATTTTATCGTGATATTTTTCTTACACTTCCTACTTTTGTTTTAATATATCTGTATGTATTATATACTAATATATAGATTTTTAAAAGATATGTTCCTCTTTAAAACTATTATAAAATGATGTACTCTCCGTAAATTATTTAAGCATAGAAAAACATCCTAACTTGTGGGATTGAGATAACATCAGTAACAGTGGAAATGGAAAATGGAAAATTTTCAGAAAGGTTCCTAGTTCATGTGCAGTGATCTCATCTGCCCAGCCAGCTACGTAGGCTACGCTGCCGTTTTTTTTGTTTTTTGTTGCTTGTTTGTTAGCGATCGCCACAGCAACACCTTCGTTCGTGGATTACTTACCAGGTGTTTCGTGTTCAGTAAAGATATTATTCAAAATGTCAAAAAATCTCGCATTTATATATTTTTGTACACGTACTGAAAGTACAAAACATTATTTAAAAATTCGTGTGAGCATTACAAGACTAACGTCAGACTAACCTGTATCTATATGTACACAAAATTTATTAAATTTTATATAAAACTACTTTCAGGGTATATGTATAAGCTGTGTTATGAAATGTAAAGGGACATTGTGTTTATGCTTGGCTTCCATTCACAAGTTGCCCCATTTTATAGATTTTATACAAATTAAATAGCCCGAAAAAATCTGAAAACCGAAGTAATTCCGGTCCCAAGAATTTCGGATCAAGAATTCTCAACCTCTAGCTAGCTGTACCCGTGAAAATTGCACAGGTGTTGACAGCTATGACTATCCATTATTTCAATGCTTCTGTTCCTCTCTAACCCTTTATCTGTATTTTATTCTCTCGCTTATCCCTTCCAATCTTATTGGCTCATCCATGTTTTTTAGTTATTCATTTATTTCTTTTATCGAACTCTTATAAAATCATGGATGAGTTTCGAACGTGAAAAAGAAACAAGCAATGCACAAATGTATTTTACTGCATCATAAAGACTTTTATCATAATGACTTTTAATGTCGTCCATTTTTTCGCCTTTCTGTCGTCCCTACGCGATTCACGTTAAATGAGTCTAACTCATACACACACACACACAAAAGGTCTATTTCGGCAGTAATATGTCTTTCAAACATGTTTGGTTAAATAATATAGACAAGTTTTTTAAAACATTAAATAAGGTGTCTTTCTCCATATTCAAGTGTATTAAAAAATTTCAATTTGATCGTTTAAGTAACGTCATTATGAGTGAATTGAAATTGTTTACAGCAAACATGAGGACGCCGGATTTAAACCAAAACAGTTGCGTAAATATACATAGAACACAATCCTTGAAAACGAATGTAACGACATTCGAAAGTACTCTTTTTTAAAACTCATTACACTCCAAGCAAGACGATAATGCCGTTAGTAATGGGGGGGGGTGTTAAAGGGGGTGCAATTGAAAGAGAAATCTGAGTATATGGAGGATTGAGGAAAGGACAAAATGATGAACCGGGTTCAAGAAGAAAATTTTTGAAGACTGTAATTATCAGGGATGTAAGGAGATAGATAGATAGATAGATAGATAGATAGATAGATAGATGAGCAGAGTGAGATCGAGAGATAGATAAGAATAGACAAAGCTTTATAGCTAAATAGATAGATAAATATAAACTGACAGAAGATGGCAAATAATGTTGCATTTTAATTTTTAAAGATTGTAGTTATCAGGGAATCAAAGAAACGGAAGGGAGTTCCACAGGCAGGAAGTGCGGGAAAAGAAACTGTTGGAGTAGAAGTGGCGGTTGCATTTCGCTATTTTGACAGTAAATGGGTGGAAACTAGATGCCAATAGCAATGTTAAATTCGTGTAGTTGGGACACCAGGTAAAAAAAGCTCGTCAGAGCAGTTGCCATGAAAATATTTGTAGGAAAAGACAAAAGGAAACCTCGTCACGTCGATGAGAAAGTGTGAATGATGTCGAGATGCCAAGTCAGGATCAATGACATTACGGCAGATTCTTCTTTGGATTTTGTCTAGAATCTCTAGATGTCTCGCAAGAGCACCAGTCCTGATACAGCAAAACACAATTTAATGCACAGACGAGTGGTAGGTTTGGAAAATGAGCAAGATGGATTCAGACGATAAAAAATCTGGCATGACACATTGACGCAACTCTTTTTGCAGTGATTGCAGCTATTGATTCGATGTAGTCGATTCACTTCATGTCAGTGGAAAACGTGAGACCAAGATGGTGTAGTGTGTGTTGCTCTGTTGGAGTCTAGCGTCAGCTATGCCGATGGAAGGCAGAAAAGATTCTCTGTGGTGGTTAGGTGAAAGCAGTTTATGGTGAAATGAAAGCGGGAATAAATAAATAAAATAAATATAAATATGAACTTTGGCAAATTTACCAATAACGTAAAACGACTAATTCGGAAATTTGATTGAACTTTTCTATATTATTGAAGCAAACATGTTTGAAACACACACACACACACACACACACACACACACACACACACACACACACACACATATATATATATAGTAATCTATAGACAGCCTGTTTCGCTGTATCACAGCTCATCAGTGTGGCTAGACATCCGATTGCTTTAAGCTGGGATCGAAACTCGACCGATTTGACATTAGTGAGAGAATCTAACCTAGGCTATCGGCGCACGGCAGAGAAGGAATTTTTTAACGCATTATATACGTGCTATATAAATGCCATACTGTCCGCTGTAACGCCCAATTCTTACGAAGAGTAATGCATTACAGCAGCAACCATTAAAAATTCCCTTTTCTCCATAGTGTTCAATCGTTGAACACTGGCAAGCAGAACTTTTGAGCCACATTAATAAATTGATCACTGTCGTTAATTTTTTCTGATTTTGACCCCAAATAGAGAGTTATTAGCAGTATTCTTTTCTCGGTATTTTTTATCAACTTTGAGGACCAGAAAACAAGTTATTGCATTTTTGTTAATGCTATAATTGTGGATGATAATGCATCTTAAGTATAATGATGCTGAATAAAGGTTCAGGCAAAAATATAGGGCCACCATTGAAAAATTATCTTTCTGCTCTTTTCTTAAGTTAAAAGGAATTTTTTTTACAAACAGTGATCTTTATTATTATTATTATTATTATTAGAAGTACAAAACATCAAAGTATGGAGTTAGTAATTAGTGTTGCTGCCTTTGGCTTAAATAATTCCCTCAATTTGATGTGGCATTGAATGGAACTAGATTTTCTCATTGGGAATGTTTCCCATTCTTCTTGGAAGGAATCCCAAAAATCTTGGAGATCGTATAGTTTTCATTGAAATACTTCCTTTTTTTTCAGTATCCACCACAATAGTTCAGTTAGATTGAGATTAGAAATTTGTGCAGGCCAGTCTTCCAAAAGTTGAACATTTTCATCTACATTTTTATTGCATGTGATGTGTGACAAGGTGCTCGATTAGACCATAGCAAACTAATATAGTTTTCACTGTTTAGGTTTCGATCAACCTATTATCTTTTACCATTGCATTTGATGCAACCCCACACCATTACGTGTCCATCACCAAATGTTACCGTCTTTGGAGTGTATCATGCATTGTTTCTTTCTCCTACTGGTCTTCTTACATATTCTTTTGCGTTAGAATATAACTGTATTTTGCATTCATCATTAAAAATTATATGTTACTACTTTCCAGCGTCCCATGTCAAATGTTTTTTTTGATCTTCTATTCCGATGTTTTATTTTTTTTTTTGGTTAATGATTTTTTTTTGGTTGCTGCGATCCAGCCGTTAAAGTTGTTTGTTTTCGTAATAACCCTGTGTACTGTATCAATTGAGATTTCACTGTCGAGACTACATTCACACCCCCCTCCTTTTCTTTGCCTGTTAATTTTGGTTTGCCTACCGTGACTCACAATCTTTCTTTCTTTCATCTCTTCTCTTCTCTTTTCTGGTTTTCCAGTTTTCTTCTCAATTAAAATACTTCTAGTAGTAACAAAAGGTTTTTGGATGCCTTGAACACTATTCCTGAAAATTTCCAGCCGCTTGGCTATCTCTTGTTGGACATTTCGGCGTGATGTAATGGTTAACGAGCTAGTCGATCCTAACTGGGCAATCCATACTTTCGATTATTAAATCGCCATCTCTCGTTGAATCGTCGGTGCTACTTTCGTATGCTGCCTACTGCGCTATGAGTTATACTGTGACCTCACTTCAACTATTGTGCCATCCACCTTCTGTCTACTATGCTGAATTCTACAATCAACTCACTCCTGACAGATTTTTATAGACGTATCATCTTGATTAAGGAAAGAGCAGTCGCATTTTTACAAGAGAACAATCGTCTAGATAGGCAATAATGTTAGATACCTTAAAGTAAATGAGGTAGACAGCAAGCTATAATGTTTCATACCGTGGTAGACCGCATGCTATAATGTTTCATACCGTGGTAGACCGCATGCTATAATGTTTCATACCGTGGTAGACCGCATACTATAGTAGCACCGAATCGTCTTCCCCTTCAAATCACAACCTTCATCTTTGTTTCAGAGAGAGATTTTAGCCATGATTTAGTGTAAAAAGACTAGCTAATGTTCATCTACAAGGACTTGCTAAAGACACTTTATGCTCATGTTAATAAGACATAACAATTCCTACTTAGAAATTTGCATATTATCATAAACTTATCATTTCAGATCTTTCATTGGCCCAATAGTTCTGCATGATCTTTTTGTCAGATTCTAGCTGCTTAAAGCGGTGTATCTTTTATTACATGACACCTACTAAAATGCAACAAATTATTTTCCAATTTTGAAAGTCCAAAGACACTGCTGATTAAAGTATACCACTAAACAATCTTAACTTTTTAATAAAATAATGATGCATAATCATTTTATATAGTTTGCCCAAAACTTTTGTATGTTTGCCAGTGGGCTTCTCTTATTGTCCATTAGGTGGCGTTGTATAAAGCTGTATAAAAGTTTCTTCAGTCACAAGATGACATAGTGGCAAGACATGTATTGTTTCCCCTCCAGGGTTGGGGCTTCTTCGCCCCTAAATGAATCATGTATAGTAAATTCTCCTATTCAAAAGCTGAGTAATCCCAATACACAATACACCTCTTATCCAAAGGTGGAGTAATCCTATAATTGTCTGATGAGTAAATGATTTTTATGCCTGTTTCGTGAATCTTAAGATGGAACAATTCCTACTTAGACAATTTGCATGTCCCTTTTTCAGCTTCAATCTGCTTAAAGCGATCAATTTTATATATATATATGCATACACACACGCGCGCACACGCACACACATATATGTATAATTTAATAATTTTATTTAATAAGCTCATCTGAACAACTATATTTAATAAATAAAAAAAATAATAAAATTCAATAAATAAATTTAATAAAACGACGTATGGATTTGGTTGGAAACATTTAATAAAAGTTGAGAGATTATGAAAAGCAAACAGTCAATAGGTTGGGAACGTAAAGTTGTCAATGAACGTCTAATGCCACTGATGCGAAACGTGTAAATTAATAAGATCTCTTGAAAACAAATTTAGAAATCCACAAAGATGAAATGGAAGACTAATACAAGGATAACTTTAAGAGATAGAAATAGGTCACCATAAATCAGACCAAGAGATATGATAGAAGTGAAATGGGGGCAGCAGGGCATATATTCTTCTTGTTTATTTACAAGAATAATTTTATATTTACAACATTCTAAAAACTAATACAATTAAAGCTAATGCAATGCAATATTTATCATTTACTAATATAAAGAAATAAATGTGAAAACAATTTTTTTGTCTCTCTTGTCTAACTTTTGTAGTTTTCTGGTTTTCTTTGCATTGCTTAATAAATTTCTAAATATTTACTAAATTATTAAAATATGTGAACCAGCTATAAGGAAATCCTTATTATTTACCATTTTATAAAGTTCGAATTAATTGGCATTTAGCTGATGTTTTGCCAACCATTCCAATAAACAATCTAATAAATAAATAGTGTAAATAAACAAAATCAGAAATAAATAGTGTTTATTATTTTTGTTATCAATTCTCAAGAACAAAGAAAATGTATAAATTCACTTTCATGATATGTTTAGGCTTTATTATAATTTGAATCATCGCTTTTTGAAACAATAAAGATTATCGAGGAGTGAAGGTAGTTAAAATAATTGCGGTGTCAATGGAAAAACATCAGTTTGACATTCTGTTTTTTGTGTCCAAGTTTGCCAAATTGACCATATTCAGAGTCCTAGAATATGGATTGCTCTTATAATGAGGACTTGGCTTATAGATATCAGAACAGATCAATACTTGTTCTATTTGTCGAGCAGAATCGTGTTTCTAGCGAGAACACTCTGATTTCAACTCAGGACAAAATTTATCGATAGTTCTTGTAAAATATTATTATTATTATTAATGTTTCTACAAATGTTGCTATTTATTACTATAAACATTATTATTACTTCTATAAGCGTTTTCTTTATTACTATAAATATTATTATTTTTGTAAGCGTTACTATTTATTACTAGAACCTTTATTATTGACCCACGTCGTTTGTGGGTAACAGGGTTTTGCTGCTACTGACTGGGCAAGTAAGGTAGCCATGGAAAAGTAGTTTAATCAA